TTTCCCTTAAAATTTATAACTAACACATCTATTTGTGAGTGGGGTCAAGGGCCCGTTAAAGCTTCTTATTCTAATGGGATCCGGCCGCTCGCCTCGGCAGTATAATAGATACATCTATGGTTCATGTCGTTCGACCCTCAGCAGTGCACACATTATAATGGGATCGTGTCATTCTCCTAGGCATGATTATGTATCACACTCTCATGGGAGCGAGTTGTTCGCCTCAAAAATATAATAGATGTATCTATGATTTGTTCCGTTCGACCCTCGGCAGTGCACATATTATGACGGGATTAGATCGTACACCTCGGTATTTTTATAAAATACTCTTATGAAATCGTGCGTAATAATTGACAAGAAGCCAATATAACTATGAGTTTTCCGAATTTGAACTGTGACAACCTATCTGGTGAGGTCCATTATATATATACTCTGATTGAGAGGTAACTACTAGCTGAGAGCTTGAGTTATTGCTGAGAGGAGAATTGTAACACGTATTTATACTTGTTATTTTATTTATTTACTCTGACTCACGTCTGTTTACTTCTATTGTATCTGTCTTATTAGACCACTAGTAAGTGTTAATGTCGATCCCTCGTCACTACTTCTCTGGGGTTAAGCTAGATACTTACTGGGTACGCGTTGATTTACGTACTCATGTTACACTTGTTGCACTTATTGTGCAGGTACATATATGTCTGGTGGTCTTTTGGGCGCAAAGGCGCGGCTATTGCGGGGACTTCACCGTGAGCTGCATTCCATGTTACGATCCGCAGCCTGCAGAGTCTCCATCAGAGTTATTTATATTCTCTATCTAATTTGTATTCCAGACAAATGTTGTATTTTATTATATTTTCTAGTTATTGCTAATGCACTTGTGATACCAGATTTTGGGATTCATATGGGTTGTTCATTATTGTAGTTCGTGTAAATATTATTATTTATCCTGTAAATTCAATTTTATTTAATTAATAAAAATTATGATTTTAAATTAATAAAATGAGTAATTAAATTGATCAATCACTGCTGGCTTGTCTGGCGGCGGCGTTAGGTGCCATCACGACCTATAGTGGATTTTAGGTCGTGACATTATGCATCGAGACAATTGAAGAAACATGAAAAGAATTACCCGACTCATGATTTAAAATTGGCTGCAGTAGTATATGCTTTGAAGATATGGCAGCACTACTTATATGGCATCCATGGATGAGCACCTAATTTTTGACCATATTTAGATTTTTTTACTATTTTTTAGAATGTAAATAATTTAAAGTTTAATTTACATGTTTTAGCTTTTGTTTTACCCTTTTATAGGTTTTTCCGAAGAAAATTAAAAACTACAAAAAGAGTTACATTTTTTAGAATATTAGTTTTATTTTTATTTACAAAGAAAGAAGAGTTTCCAAAAAAGAAAAATATAGTTTTATCTAGTTTAGTACAATTCTTTAAGTAAGAGTCTTTAAGAATTTAAATATTGAGTGTAGTAATTTTACCTTGCTTTTTGTTTACTTATTTAAGTAGAAGTAGATTATTTTGCTTATTTATTATCAAGAAAAGAAAATATTTATAAAAAAAAAAAAAGAACTAATCACAATTGGCCACTTGTAAAAAATTCTTCCTAACAAATTCCCTCTTTTCTTGGTAGCTTCTCACCTGCACACTCCACACAAGATACTCCTGACATTTTGAGAAATATGCTCTCAACAATATATCCAGATCTTTTTTTATTCTTTCACTCCAAGCAATCATCTAACAACTATAAATACATAAAGACCTATACCCAGGGGCGACATTTTGAGAGAGGAGAAGAACGAGAAACAAAAAGGCTCGAAAGAAAACTCCAAAACTAAAAAACGTTGCAATTCAATACCTTGAATACACCATAGCTTCTGCCTGTAGAAAACCCAGTTGAAACTTCACCCAAAGTACCATTGTTCTCCTGTTGAATCACTCCAAACCCAGCTGAAAATAGCACCAAAAATCATCCTTCTTCCTCATCGAGACTCCACCCAAAAAATCAGTAGAATAAACGTCACTTAAACCTAGCGAAATCCAACCACCAATTTGTCGTCTTCACCAATCCTTAAGCTCAGCAACATAGCCATGAAACAACACAAAAATACCATCAAAATTCCAGCCAAAAACTCCATGAAAACATGTTGAAAATCAGTCCAAACAAGCAACAAAATGCAGCCCTTTTGCACAAACAAAATCAGCAGCGTCGAAAGGGGAGTCTCGAGGTCTTCGTTGAGGTCTTACACCGCCGGTTCTGTTTGTGGTCGCTGATGAAATCTTTGCCATGAGTTCTCGAGTTTGCTTATCCCCTTTGTAACTCACCCCAGTTTATTTATACAAAAGGTCTATCTCTATCTTATTTATTTGCTTTCACTGTCATTAAAGCTTACAATATTAATGTTGGTTTGTTATTGGAATGCTATATGTCTTCATCACGTAGTTGATTTTATTTTATCTTATTATTTAACTATTTTTTCTGGTGATTGAACCTGCTATGCGCATCTATTTTGTTCATGCCTAAAGCTGTGTCTAAATATGGGTATATAAGAGATAAATTTAAAGCTTTAATTTTGAAGTGTTGTTTGGAAAAATAGATTTGATTCTTAAATTACTTAGCTTGACCAATGTTTGGAAGTTTTAATTGTTAAGTTGAGTTCATGATCGGTTGAAAGGCTTCATTAGATATAGATGTTTGGATTTTGGAATTTTATTTTTAATATAAAAAGGATTTTGGTTTTAAATAATAAGAAATAAAAGGATTTGAGCCGTTCGGTTGATTCATATACGAGGGATTGGTCTTGGCTACACTTTTCATAAGTAATTGGGCTGAAGAAAATGGTTTGAGGACTACTTTAATAAGACAATTATGGGTTAGAGGCAATTTAAGTTGCGGCCAGCTGTCCGATGGGTGGAAACAAAAGAAATCAGACCTTTGATATTTTGGACTGAAATAAATCATCTGTCAGGCTCATTCTTTAATAACAAGGCTAATCCACCTTTCATAAAAAAACTTACATTATTCCCTCCACCATAAATTCCATAATGTACGCCCCACAATAATTTTAAAGTAGGAAAAATAATCCATGAATACGTTAGAATGTTTTAAGCGTGCTCTTAATTAATTGAATCGTCGTGATTATGTATACGTCTGCATGACATAATTACGATTTCCAAAATTAAAATCAAGGTATGCGTTTGCGCAACTTTAGGCGAAACAACCTTAAGAAATTAATAAAGTGTGATTAATTGGGTAAACGTACGCGTGACATGATTTTAAGCACCCCAAATAAAATGATTTACGCATATGTGATCCGTTTCAAAGATAAATCCATAACGCCATGATTAAAAGCGATAAAAGATAAAAACGCACATAGGTTCTAAAATACGTAATTTAAATAATTTATTTAAGCCAGGTATGATTAAAGCGATCGTGCTAAAACTGCAAAATCCGGGAATGTTTAACACCTTCTCCCGGGTTAACAGAATTCCTTACCCGGTCTTCTGATTTCGCAGACTTTAAAACCGAATCAAATTTTCTCGATTTGGGATTTAAAATAAACTGGTGACTTGGGATACCATATAATTATCCCAAGTGGCGATTCTGATTAAATAAATAATCTCATTTCGATTAATATTACTTTAAATTAGAAAAACTCCCTATCCCCTCGGGAAAAAGGAGGTGTGACAGCTCTGGCGATATATACACAGATCACAAGAGTTTACAATACATCTTCAAGCAGAAGGAGTTGAATTTGAGCCAGCGTAGGTGGCTTGAATTACTGAAGGACTACGATGTCGATATATTGTACCATCCCGGTAAAGCCAATGTTGTGGCAGACGCTCTCAGCCGTAAGTCAATGGGAAGCTTAGTACATATTGACGCAGGTAGACAAGGGTTAACTAAAGAGCTTTATCAGCTAGCCAATATGAAAATTAGATTGTTAGACTCTGCTGACAGAGGTGTTACTGTACAGAATACAACAGAATCATCTTTGGTAGCCGAGGTAAAAGCACGACAATATGAAGATCCTACCTTAGTACGATTGAGAGAGGGCATTCAGCAGCATAAGATTACGGGTTTCGAGATCGGAGGAGATGTGCATTGAGATACTAGGGCCGATTATGTATGCCTAATGTGACAAGGTTGCGAGAGAAGATTATGATTGAGATTCATCAGTCCCGATATTCCATCCATATCGTCTCGACAAATATGTATCATGACATTAAGGAGCAGTATTGGTGGGATAACATGAAGAAGTCTATTGCAGAATTTGTAGCCAGTGTCCTAATTGTCAACAAGTAAAGATCGACATTAGAAACACGGTGGATTGATTCAGAATATAGAGATTCCGACCTAGAAATGGGAGGTGATCAATATGGACTTCATTATTGGATTACCTCGCTCTTATCATAAGTTTGACTCCATCTGGGTGATAGTTGATCGACTTACAAAATCTGCCTATTTTCTGCCTGCTAAGACAACTTACACGGCTGAAGATTATGCTAAGTTGTATATCAAGGAGATTGTTAGACTTCATGGTGTACCTGTATCTATTATATCAGACCGAGGAGCTCAATTTACGGCTAAATTTTGGAGGTCTTTTCAGAAGGGTTTAGGCATACAAGTGAATCTAAGCACTGCATTCCATCCGCAGACTGACGGACAGGCTGAACGTACCATTCAGACACTTGAAGATAGGCTACGAGCATGTGTTCTATATTTCAAGGGGAATTGAGATGACCATTTTCCACTCATATAATTCTCCTACAATAATAGCTACCATTCAAGTATAAAAATGGCCCCGTACGAGACACTTTACGGGAGGAGATGTAGATCACCAATTGGATGGTTTGAAGTTAGTGAAACAGAATTATATGGGCCATATTTGATTCACCAAGCCATTGAGAAGGTGAAAGTGATACAAGAACGACTGAGGCTGGCGCAAAGCAGGCAAAAGTCTTATTCTGATATCTGACATCATGATATGGAGTTTGAGGTTGGTGATTGGGTTTTCCTGAGGATCTCACCGATAAAAGGTGTTATGCATTTTGGGAAGAAAGGTAAGCTGAGTTCGCGGTATATCGGGTCGTACAAGATTCTTCGACAAATTGGCCAGGTTGCTTATGAGTTAGAATTGCCATCCGAATTTGAATTTGTCCATCTAGTATTTCATGAATCTATGTTGAGGAGATGTATTGGAGATCCTTCTTGGGTCATCCCTATCAAATATGTACAAGTTATGGAGGATCTATCATATGAAGAAGTGCCAGTGACTTTAATAGATCGACAAGTTCGCAAGCTGAGAATAAAGGACGTAGCTTCTGTCAAAGTATTGTGGAGGAACAAGAATACAGAAGAAATAACATGGGAAGCAGAAGAAGAGATGAAGTCTAAATACATTTGCCTATTCTAGATTGAATATAACGAGGATGCTGGGAGAACGCAGGATGCAATGAAAGCAAAAACGGCTCTATGAGGTAAGCAATATCTTGAGAATACTTTCCTTAAATACAAAATGGTGATATGTCGATAATATACATATCCATAATGCTTTGAATAGCCTTGTGAGGCCATAGGTTGGATTTAACTTCTTTCAAGTTTGGCTAGTATCCATTTTATAGGGGAAAGTTTCCATTTGAATTAACGGGGAGTTAGACTCCCCATAAACCCTTACATTCGAGGACGAATGTTCCTAAGGAGGAGAGGGTGTTAGAACCCATATTCGCGTACGTTAGATCACGCCGTAAGATAGTCGACATAAAATCGAGAAGAGACTATCTTTAATATGATAAGAAGTTAATCTTATCGGTCTTAAACGATACAGAGGTGTATAAGAGTGGTTAACAAGTATTAGAAGTTAAACGAATCAAGACAGTTGTAACCCATATTTTCGGGTAAAACTCGAGGTGCTTAATATTATCAAGAGGTCGTGTTTTAAGGTATTTGAATCATATAATATCCATATCATAAGTCTTTAAGTCAAATGAGTTATGAAACAAAAGTCGACAAATGTTGTTGCAACTTACGTTCATAAATTTACTTAAACTTTAGGTCAAATGTTACTAAGCATTTTTCCAATTTACTTGGAATTATAGGGTGATATATCCACCAAATTGAAGATCTATGATTCTAGTTTCCAACACATTAAACCGTTCATCGATACGATATTGGAGTAGAGAGATATTCATATTTTCACGAGACTGCGCAAGCAGCTCTCTATGGGGACCACATAGGCGGTTGAGATATATTGATATATATCAAAACCCTTAAACCCGTTTCAACTCATTATTTTTCATTCTCTTCAGACCCTAAACACCTAAAAACACTCTCTCAAGGTTCTCTCATAATCCAAGACCCAAAACAAAGGGCAAACAACACAAATCAAGTGTCAGGAATCCCGTGGCGCTAGTAAGTTTCTTGTTCTTCTTGTTGTTGCTGATTTTTGTGTTGTTCCAGCTCGTGTGGGAGGTTGTTTTAAGTGGTTTTTATTCTTTAAAATACTCCCTCAAGTTTATAATATCAACCCTAGGTGATTTCAAGTTTTCTAAAGTGATTCTAGTGCCGAAAAACCCTAATTGATTGCTAGTTTAGCTCCCTTGTTCCTGTGGCAGCATTAAAAGGATATTTCGTGGTGAATTAATGTCAAATTGGATTTGTTATATCTGTTTCAAGGTAGGGAACCTCTTACTCTACATGTATTTAAGATTACCCAAGCTGCGGCTAACTCGTTGAAGCTAGAACTTGTAAGTTATCTATCGAAAGGCTTGTTAGTAATGTTGTTGGTTGGTTGACTGTTTTGGGAGGCTTAATATGATTATTATTGATGTTGTTTGGTCTGTTTCGTGATTGTTTTAACTTGTGGGAATTCATATAAATAGGGGAGGTGCTGTCCATTTCATCATAGAATAGGTTACGGTCGATGTATAATAGTTACGACACTTAAACGATAATGATAGTATCATTTCTCTTATTGTAGACTAAGAAGTCGTGACATTTGCATAACTTGAGGTTGGGCAGTATATACAAGGTATGTGAGGCTATCTGTTTCCTTCTTTTGCACGGCTCTAATTGTACATAATGTAATGAACGAGCTTCCAAAGATATCCCACTCTTAGAAGCTAGCAGTACTTACATTATTTCCCTTCTTATGGAACGATTGATGTTGATGTTACTTCTCTTATTCTTATGTAATCAATGTTGTTGGTACTTCCTGATTCTTATAAGATTCTTGATGAAGAGTTAGTCCTAATAACGTGTACGGAGGTTACCGATCTTACATCACTCCGAAAGGTTCAGAATGTGATTCCAATGAGTNTTTATATTATTGTTCTTATTTATGCTTTCATGTCTTACATACTTAGTATTTTATTCGTACTGATGCCCCTTTTATTTGTGGATGTTGCATGTCATGCTGCAGGTTCTGATAAACAGGTAGGCGAAGTTCCCCCACCATAGTAGGCTGCCCAGTTCAGCGGTTATTGGCGAGATCCCTTCTCCGGACTTGCCGTGGTCTTGGTATGCACTTTTGGTTATAGACATTATGGGTATGTCGGGGCCCTGTTCCGGTAATGTTGCAGCACTTATGTTCCTTTAGAGGCTCATAGACAGGCATCGACTCATGTATAGTTTGGATTGCCTTGTCGACTGATTTTTGTTGTATAGTCTCTCATGGCAGCATGGCAGCTCGTACCTTATATATAGCTTCATGACAGCCTTGTCGGCCCATGTTATGTATGTTCATTCCATTATCCGTCATTGTTAGTATTTCATGATTCATGTCTACCATTCATGTTGATCTCGTCGGCCCTTATAGATAATAAGAAAAGTTAGGTAAAATGTATGTTGGTGCTTGGCAAGTATGGCCTGGGTGCTAGTCAAGACTCTCCAGTATGGGTCATGACAAGTTATTTGCTTAAATTACAGTTATGTACTCAATCGCATTCATCATTTGCATATTATATCTCAATCTCTGTTATCATTTATTGTTACATCATGTATCATTGTTTGGGCTGATTGGCATGAGATTTGTGAGCCCGAGAGATTGGAGAGATTGATGGCTGAGTGAGGCCGAGGGCCTGATTGCGAATGATATTTATAGGATCGGGTTGCACACCGCAGCAGACTTTATTGATTTATGATGGGATCAGGCTGCACACCGCAGCAGACTTTATTGATTTATGATGGGATCGGGCTGCACACCACAGCATGACACGTTGGCTTATATTAGCGCTTGGGCAGGATCCGTCCCTCCGGAGTCTGACATACCAGTAGTGAGCGCAGGTTCCATTGAGTGCAGAGTGCAAGTGCCGAGTGATTGGGAATGCTGAGTGATTGAGCGTGATAAGTGAGGTTGCATACTCCGAGAGCATGAGTATATGGGTTTATCACTGTGTTGCATTACCGGTGACATACATATTTGACATGTAGATATAGAGATGTAATATTCCTCATGTTAGCTATACTTGGCAAATTTATCAGTATTGAGCCTAAACTATCAAACTTGAAAGCATGTCTACTTCCCTGTATAGTGTACAACAGATTATGAGATTTTCTCTAAGTTATTACTGTCATATCTGTATCGTTATTACCTGGAATCAGACTGTACCTATCTGAGCTCGTCACTGCTTTCAGCCCAAGGTTAATCCTGTTACTCATTGAGTATATTGGGTCGGTTGTACTCATACTATATTTTGCACTTCGTGTACAGATCTAGGTACTTCTGGGCACTGTGGTTGCTAGGCTTGGAGCATTTCCTGCTTGGATACTTTTGAGGTAACTGCTTTGGGATTCGCAGACCTCGACTCTCCTTCTTTTCAGTTTATTTAGCGTTGTTCTATCTTTCCAGATAGTTGTATTAGAGGTTTTGACTATGTTGATATTTAGTAACTTATGTACTCAGTGACACCCGAATTTTGGGGGATTTTGTATTGAGTCGCGGTATTTCTTATCGGTTATTTATGAGATTTTTCATTGTTAGACTTATTTCATCATGTTTTCAATTTAAAATATGTAGTTATTTGTGATTATCGGCTTTCCTAATTCTGTGATAGGCGCCATCACGAGTTGAATTTGAATTGTGACAACATAAAACTTTTATCTGCTTTGAGTTGTGAGTAATCTCTACCTCATCAATTGGACCTTGTCAATATCTTCTTGTACTAAGTCGGGTCCCGAAAATTTAGTTTCACCAACTTCAAACCATCTGATAGGAGAACGACATCTCCTACCATACAATGCTTCGTACTGTGCCAGCTTAGTGCTGGACTGAAAACTATTATTGTAGACAAATTCAGCTAAAGGTAGATAAGCATCCCAATTACCTCCAAATTCAAGAATACATGCTCTCAGCATATCTTCCAAGATCTTTATAGTACTTTCAGACTATCCATCTGTCTATGGATGAAATGCAGTACTAAGATCTACTCGTGTACTCAATGCTTCTTAAAACAATATTCAAGGGCGTGCAATAAATTGATATTCTCTATCAAAAATGGTGGACAATAGAACCCCATGGATCTTCTGAGTGAAATGTCTCTTGCATTACATCTACATTTCCAGAAGATTTTGCCACCTTTGAAATCCGTTTCTCACCATGAAGATTTCAAATAATATAATTTTGAGAAAATTGCTTTCAAATCAAATTCTCATGCACTATATTTCTAGTTTTCCACTTACCTAAATCACATTTAAGACATAAACATCATATTGTATCTCCAGCAGCCGAATTCTTAAATACGAACTCTAAAAATTCATCCAAACCAAGTAAGTACTTATTTCTATTTTTTGGCTTTCCAATCCAAAATTTATCCATTAAAAACTTTATATTTCTATAGGAGAAAAGCCAACATCAATCAAAAAAGAGAAATCATATCTTCCAATACAATGGGCATGAATCATTTAGAGTATACCTCGAAAAATAAATCCTCTAAGTCCACAATTACCTTTAGATTCGGCTACTTCCAATCTACTCCAAGAATTTCAAGAGCTCCTTCACACTAAGTTATTCCCGAAAATTATAGCGAAAAGAACAAATGAAGAACCCGAGCAAAAATTTAATGACTTTTTCTTTACAATGGGTGTGTTTCTATTTTTCAGTGTATGATTGCACAAAATAGTTTGAAAAATATTTTCCTAGATATCACGTTTTCTTGAAATTGGAGAAAAATGACTTTCCTAGAAAAAGTTAGAAAAATATTTTCCAAAAACTCTACCTACCCTCACATCTACCCTCAGCCCTTCCAACTTTAATTTTCTGTTTTTTTCCGTTTTTTTACGNTTATGTGTTTGGAAGTTTGTGAGTTTAGAAATTATAGAGTTTGCGGGTTCGAAAGTTTAGCGGTTCAGAAGTTTATGAAATTTATGGGTTCGGAAGGTTATTGGTTCGAAAGTTTATGGCTTCATGTTTATTGTATCTAAATTATAGTTTATGAATACTCTTGAGAAGTTATTTTCCTTAATTTGCGTACCAAACGTACC